CCCCCCACCAAGCTGTGGCCGCCAGCCTGTCCTGGCTTCTCCCCAGAGACGGGCGTGTGTCCCCGGAGCCATCAGCGATGAGATTGTCCTGCGGCCAGAAGGTCCTCGATGGGACGCAGAGCCTGCAGAAAGCAGCGAGGTGGCAGTGGAGGAAGGGCTGCCGCAGGACAGACCAGTGTGGGAACCCAGAGAGGCCGAGGCTGGGGAGCGGCTCCGGAAACAGCGGTCCCGTAATACCCGCAGGGAGTTCTCACACCATGTTCATACACTAGCAAGATCACCAACAGGAGCTATTAGTCTTCTAAGAATTTCATAAAGGATATCACCAGTAGAAATCACCGTCGCAAAATAAAACTGACACTGGCTGAAAGTACGCAGGGAAAGACCCATCAGGATCTGGAAATCGGTGGCAGAGTCTCTCTAGACTAGAACGGGGCGTTCCAGTCGGGTGACCCGACCCAGCGCAAGTGGACACAGGAGAGAGCTCAGCAGGTGGGAGCGATAATCAGTAAAACGTGAGACATTTGAACAATAATAAATTCTAGGGGCAGCTGCGTGGCTCAGTCGGTTGAGCGTCCGCCTCCGGCCCAGGTCATGACCCCGGGGTCCTGGGATTGAGCCCTGCATCGAGCTCCCTGCTCTCCCTCTCCCTCTGCCTGCTGCTCCCCCTGCTTGTTCTCTCTCTCTCTCTCTCAAATAAATAAATAAGATCTTCTTTTTAAAAAGCTAAAAAATAAATAAATAAAATTCTAAAAACCTCCCAAGGAGCCCAGTAATATTTACATGGAAAAAATGATTCCAGGGAAAATAATTTCTGAAAAATGAAAAAGTCAACAGTCCATTTGCCCACACCCTGAAACCAGGCAAGTCGCCGCCCCTGCCACCCCCGCCCTCGGTTTCTGCAACTCTCGTGACTCCGCTGGAGCGAAGAGCCTTCCGGAAGCTACAGAAGTCAGACACTGGACATAGGAGCAGCTGAACGTGGCCGTGCTCGGCTAGACCAGGCTGAGCTGGGAAGCCTCCGGGGCTGGAGGAAAGCAGGGGAGCGGGGGAGAGAGACCGGGAGGACCCCGAGACCCGGCACAGCTCCCACCCCACGCCCATGCCATACAGAGGCCACGGAGGCTGAGGTCACCCTTCCTGGGAGGTTTCCTGCAGGGGGGCCGGGAGCACCTTCTTAGATCGCCCACAGCCCTCCACGGCCGGCTGGACCCGGAGCACCACGTCAGCATGTGGGGCGTCTACGGGGGGCGACCAGAGGCTACACACCTGTGCCTCCGGTTACAAAAATGTGCTGACATTGAAAATCGGCCCACGGTCTTTGCTGGGAGTACTAAAAATACAGAAAGGAGTAAAAGAGAACATTTAAATGCCTATAATCCTACAACCCAGAAATTACTACTGATGTTTTGGGTTATTTCTTTCCCGTCCTTTCTCTGTCTTTGTGTAAGTATTTTAATCAATCGTGTCTGTTCTTGTATCCTGTCTGATTCTCTCCCATGTGTCATGTCATGGCCGACCCTGTTCTTAAAGATCGCCCCAAAAGATACTTCCGACATTTCCGCATAACTGCTTCCACCTCTCAGGGACCCAAGTACATGAACTTGGGTTCATGTGTTCTCTGTATTCTGCACTTAGCAAAGACCCCAAACCAGAGCTGCTCATTTCATCAGTGGCGGTGCCAGACCCCTGATAAGCCTAACGCTCGAGGACTCGGGGACTGGCGCCGTGCTCAGAGGAAGTGGGGCTGGTTAACCCAGCCGCTGCCACGAGGCTATAAAGGGCCAGTCCAGGCGCCTCTCTCCACCCTGACCCCACAGAGAACTCCACACTAGAGCACTCCGCCCAGGGTGGGATTTTTAAGTTACCCGTGGATACTGGGCATCCATTAAAATTACATCACAGCATGAAAAATTGTCACATTAGATTTAAGAAATAGAATGCAAATTGAGGGTTTCAGAGGGGAGGGAGGTGAGGAGATGGGTGAGCCCAGTGATGGGTATTAAGGAGGACACGTACTGCATGGAGCACTGGGTATTGTACACAAACAATGAACCATGGAACACTACATCAAATAATTTAAAAAATTTTAAAAATTAAAAAAAGAAGTAAGATGCAAATTTATGTGGACACTACAATTATAGCAAAGCAAAAAAAGGCATAAAAAAAGAAATATACTAAAGTAAGTGCCAATCTCTCAGTGGTTTTATTATGGGTGATTTTCTCACCTCGTCAGGTATATATAAACTTTCTACCACAAGCATATGTTGGAAAAATTGGAAACAAGCCAGTTACTTAATGAAGGTAGGACTTAACTGCCACTTGCATGCTGAGCTCAAATGTCGTTACTTTGAAAAAAACATCAATGAAAGAGGATCGTGAAATGACTTTGAGACTGTCTAGAGTAGGGAAGCTAATTACTTCCTGACTGAAATATAAAATCGCCCACACAAAAAAGTAGAGAAACATCCCTTTTATCGCTCTGTAAATTTCATAATTAGTTCAGTAATAAAATAAGACAATCTATCTACTGTCCTTTCCACTTCCATAAAAAGTATAATAATAAAAACCACAAGCACGTAAGTTCTGCGATACTGTTAACTTCTCACAACCCAAGAACTCTGAGAAGGAGTTCCGCCCTGCCGGCCCACTGGTCAGCTGTCCACTTGGTCAGCTGGGCTGGCCTCTGCGGGGATGGCCACTACCTTGTTTCTCGCGGGGACCCCAGGAGAGGCGCTCCTGCTTCACTCACTCCTGCATTTGCACAGGTGAAGTGCTCCCCCAACCTCGGGAAGATTGCTCGTTTCGAGGGTGACATGCATGGACCAGCATGAGAATGTATGTACAGATGGCCTCTTTAAAGTTCCAAATTCCACTTAGGGCAACTTGTTCCAAGGAAATACTCAGAGATATGCACAGAAAACACAAGTACAAAAGTATCTAATACATCAAGAAAAATAAGAACCCAAAACTTTTTTTTTAAAAGATAGAAGAAGACAACCAAAGAAGAAGGAAGAGAAGACCCAAAAGACAGAAAAGAAATATGAATGACTTTTAAATGCCCAGATAATGACTCTACTTCATTCATAATAAGAGAAGCGAACATACTCACTAAGGCGACATTTTACGACTGTCAGACGGGCAGCTCCCCTAAATCAGTGAGGGCAGCAGGAGACGCATTCCTTGTGTTGCCTGTGACACTGTTTCAATCTCCCCGGAGGGCACCTCTACCCAGATTTTGAGAGCACCAGCACTGTGATCTAGCAATTACACTGTTTTATCTTCAGACTCTGATCTAGCAATTCCACTGTTTATCTTCAGGCTGTACTCGCAGACATTTACAAATGACACATATGAGACCATTCTCTACAGCAGACCCCTCTCCAGAATAGGAGACCAGTTAAAGCGTGGCAAGTTCACACATGGGATAGCAGGTCATCGCACAAGAGATGGCACGAGAGGATGAGGGGGGCGTGTCTGTGCTCTGTGGAATGATCCAGGGCGCTTTGTTAAGTCAAAGGGGGAAATTCAGGACCATATGTATACGGTGCGACTGTTTGTACAAGAGGAGGGAAGAATTAGGTGTATGTTTGCCTGTGTGCTTGCTGATTCATAAAATACGTCTGTAAAGAGAAGTCAACCACCAGTGTTGTTGCTGGGGAAGGTGCCGGGGGGCCTGGAACATGGAAGGACAGCATTCGCTGGGAGTCGTTTTATGTGCTTCGAACTCTGAACTAGGAGAATAGTCCATTTATTTTTTTAACTGTTTTTTTTTTTTTAATGGGTAAAGGAGAAAACAAGAAATAAAAATCAGGGGCACGTGAGGGGCTCAGTGGGTTAAGCCTCTGCCTTCAGCTCAGGTCATGATCCCAAGGTCTGGGATCAAGCCCCGCATCAGGATCTCCGCTAGCAGGGAGCCTGCTTTCCCCCCGCCCCTGTCTGCCTCTCTGCCTGCTTGTGATCTCTCTCTGTATCAAATAAATAAGTAAAATCTTAAAAAAAAAATTTAAAAAGGAAATAGAAATCATTAAGGCTAATGGAAGGATGGTGACAGAAATGTTTGGGTCTCGAATGTGATGAAGGTTTCCCGGGTGGACACACCATCAAAGTCATCACTTGTACATCAAAAGGAGAATGTCCATAAATCGTACCTCAGAAAAGTGAAAAAACAGTGCATGGGCTTGAATATATATATACTCAGTGGCCTTTATCTGCATCGTCATAATAACTTTCCGGAAACTGGAAACCGCCTCGCTTTCCAGTGTTGCAGGACTGGCTGGGGGACCAGCAGGACGGGCAGCAGTCTGAGTCCCAGAGCACAGAGCGCGAACGCTGACAAAGCACTTCTACCTCTTTTACTGCACGGCTACTTTGCACGGACAACTACTCCCTGTAAGACTCAGCACAACCCCAGGGGAGATGGAGAATTACACGATTGTACTTAGAAGGAAACAGATTCAGCAGTTAGAATCTGCTCACCACAGGTGCCTTCCCCTGTAGAACCCCACACGCCCCACCCAAGTCTGTCCCTTGGTCCTTTGCACACCTGCACCACCGCTTGCACACCTCCTCACCTGCTCACATACCTCCTTCTCTCTTTACCCACCTCAGTCATGGCTTGCACACCTCCTTATCTGTTTATGCACCTCTTGATCTGCTCACACTCCTCTATCACTGATCACACGCCTCCCGATCTGCTCACACGCCTCCATAACTTTTGGCACACCTTCAGAGTTTCTTCCACACCCTCACAATTGCACTTGTGCATGTAACACTCCCAAATGACCCCATGTTGCTGTGCGCCGCTCCCAGGCCGCGCTGTTTCTTGGCATGCGGAGCACTGCACCCTGGCTCACTACGCAGGCATCAAACTCCCCTCGCATCCGCGCGCCCTCCTCTCCCCTGCGGCTGCTGCAGCAGCACCAGCTGCACCCTCTTGGGCAGACCCCAAAGGGGCTGGGAAGGGCCAGACTTTGGCAGGTCCGAGGGGCGGCAGGTACCTTTCTCTCCTGTGGGGCCGACTCTTCCAGGCCGTCCGGGTGCACCTTTGTCTCCCTTCTCTCCAGCATCCCCTGTGGAAGAAGTCACTGCGTTTAGGACCTCCTTCGGAGCACAGATCCCAGCGTAAGCCTTGGCTTCTCACCCTGTGCACGGCCAGCCACGCCCCTTGGCCTTCCTCTCCCCTGCCCCAGCCCCAGGACATTTCATCTCTTACCCTGACCATCTCCCACCCCCATGGGCTTTCCCCCCTCTTCCCACCCTCCATCACTGAGGCTCTCAGGTTTCTCTGCCCCAAATCTGTGTTGGGACTCTGCTTCTGGGCCCTCCTTTCCCCCTCCAGGGATGTTGTGTCCCCTTCTCCAATTATCCCTCTGGGCTAGCTTGCCCTCTGGCGCTCAGCGCTCCCTGAGAACCCCTGTGCCTGACCCTCTGCCCTCAGGGCAGCATGAGGAGAGCAGGGATCTCGAGGCTCTCCCGTGCCAGGTGTCCTGCTGTATCTGGCTGTATCTGTATCCGGCAGGTGCACCAGGGAAGAATAAACAGGCGCTCACGTCCACATCCCCGCATCCTTTCAGCATGAGGGGATGCGGCACACACTCCGGGATGCGGAGCCTGTGACCTGGTGGGCACATCCACCTGATTGGGCTTCCCTGGCCGGGTGCGTCCTGCTGTCAGCCCAGGCTGCATGCCGCCGGCCCTTGTCACGGGTCCTGGCGTGTCTGGGCGGTCACTTGCTCATCTTTGATCTGTCACTTGTCTCACTCAGAACTGAAGCGGGGAGATGGGCTGTTCATCTCCTGATGCCCCACGCTTCGCACACCGCACGTCGACCGATGGCCTCTCCCCAGAGGTGAGTCCCTCCCGTGATGCTCCTGGTTCTAGCGGACACACAGATTCTCCCAGCCTGCAAGCCCCCGGCCCGGCGTCGTCTCTGCTTTCTGTCTCCCTCATCAGCGGAGCGCAGCCTCTGCCAAGCTCTGTGGGGTATAACCAGCCCACTCCCTGCCCTGGCCCAGCTGGGCCAGTTGCAGCTCCCTGCAGCTCTGGGGACTGTGCTCACACGGCCCACGCAGGACAGATGTGCATGGCATGTGGGGATCCCCACGAGCAGCGGAGGCAGTGGCAGGAGCAGAGGCTGGAGTTGGATGGGAGACATCAAGGTCCCTCCCTAGGCCTCCTCCCCACCCCACTCTAATCCACGCCCAAACCTTCTTCCTAAAACACAGACCCCATTATGTTGTGTCCCTTCTTTTTTTTTTTTTTTTTAAGATTTTATTTATTTGTCAGAAAGAGAGACAGAAAGAGCACACAAGCAGGCAGAGAGGCAGGCAGACGCAGAGAGAGAACCAGGCTCCCTGCAGAGCAAGAAACCTGATGTGGGACTCGATCCCTGGACCCTGGGATCATGACCTGAGCCGAAGGCAGAGGCTTAACCCACTGAGCCACCCAGGCGTCCCTGTTATGTCCCTTCTTAAAACCACCAACAGGCTGAACATGGAGACAAATAACACCTCATTTCTAAAACCATCCTCAGGAGGTCTTCCTCTGGAGCCCAGGTCGTGATGGCCACCTTCCCACCTTCCCACCTTCCCACCTTCCCACCTGACCCTCCAGGTTGTGCTTCTGATCCGCTCACCGGCTGCCTCTTCTCCCCAGTGACCAGACCCTGCTCCACATCACATGGCTTGTCTGCCTCACCGCTGTACCGCTCCCCCACAAGCGTGCGTGTGCCAGCAGGGGGTCCGCGTAACCCCCCAGGTGCACCCAACACCGGCCACCGTCCAGGCTACTTCAGTTCTCTGCAACTCTCCTTGGGCCCCCAAGCCTGGTTAGAAGCTTAACTGAGCTTACAGATGCCCCAACGAGATGCCCAAAACTGACTGGCCTGAAGGAGGGGGCATCCCGTTTAAACTTCCGTAGACAGAGAGAAAAGCAGAGTGCCAGCAACAACCCGTGGTCGCCTGTGTGCCCCTGCAGGGAAGGCTCCACGCAGCCCCCGGCTGAAGGGTGGGCTCACACACGCCCGGCACACACGTGGCCCTTAAGTCTCTGCATACTTTATGGTTCTTAAGAAAGGAAACTATTACAGTAGAAATACTTGGGGACACGTTGATAGACCCGCAAGAAATACCGACTAACAGACTAAGTGTGCCACCAAGAGCCTGCACACACTCAAGGGACATCAACATCTGGAAGAGAACTACCAGAGGTACGGGACCTTTGGGGCCATCGGTGTCTGACCCTGAAATAAGACCTGAATATCTTCATAAAGGCAAGAGAGGATAGGCCCCTACGATCAAAAGTAAAAAGCACTGAGAAGAACCAACTAGAAATCTTGCACGTGAAATTAATTTTTTTAATTATTTATTTATTTATTTGAGAGTGAAAGAGAGAGAGAGCGCGCACAAGCAGGGGGAGCAGCAGGCACAGGGAGAGAGAGAAGCAGGCTCCCCACTGAGCAGAGAGCCCAACATGGGGCTCCATCCCAGGACCCTGAGATCATGACCTGAGCCAAAGGCAGAGGCTTAACCCACTGAGCCCCCCAGGTGCCCATGAAATTTATTTTTTTTAATAATCTTATTTTATTTGAATTCAATAAATTACCATCTAGTGTATTATTAGTTTCAGAGATGGATTTCAGGGACTCGTCAGTTGCTTGTAATGCCCAGTGCTCATCACATCACGTGCCATCCTTAACGCCCAGCACCCGGTTAGCCTGTCCCTCATCCATCTCTCCTCCATCAACCCTCAGTTCGTTTCTCATAGTTAAGGGTCTCTTATGGCCTATCTCCCTCTCTGATTTTGTCTTATATTGCAACCTTATTCTTAACAGTAAAACAACTGGAAACGGTCCAAATATTCATTTAACAAGGGAATTGCTCATCAAGCTGTAGTATACATGAAATTAATTTTTGAAATGAATCTCTCTACAGGAAGGCCGAGTCGCAGGGTGGCCGACAGCGTGAGCCACTCCATGAAATGGGTCAGGACGGAGAATGTTTTCACGGCGCAACGTGAAGAGATCAAGGACTGGAAAGTTGTGTTTGGATTTAAAGTTATCAAGTGGAGAGTGAAGAAAGCCCCACGGACGCCCGTGTCCACCTTAGAGGAATTCCAGAAAAGGGAGAACAGACAGTTGAAGCCATGAGGGTTTTGCCAGGTTAAGAGCTGTGGCCTCCAGCACCAGGGAAAGGCACGGAAGACCACAGCGCAAGTGCCACAGGGAACCACACGTGAGAGATGAGGGAAAGTAACGTAGATGCGACACGGCGACGTTGCAGAACCAGAGCCAAGAGAAGACCCTGTCAGTCACCCAAGAGGAGGAGGGGTTTGTGAAGACGGCAGGCTCCAGCGTGAGTCAGGCTGACCTGGGGATTCTCCTTAGCTGCACAGGACATAAGGTAAAGGAAGAGAAAATACAATAATTTCAACCCAAAAAAGCCATAATTGAGACTGAGAGATAGAAAAGGGCTCTCTGATGAAGTGACTTCTGGAGACCTGCCATAGCCAGGCACCCAAAGGGCAAACGGAGCTCCAAGAGGGGGGCCCCACCTGCACAGGTGAGGGGCCAGGACGGAAGTGACAGGTGCGCAGGTGCCAGCGAGGGCTGGGGGACGGGTCAGTGCCCAGAGAAAGAGCAGGGCCCTCCCCGTGTGTCAGGGAGAGCTGGAAGTGTACCCCTGAGGGGGTCCGGGCCGAGGCGAGCCTGTGTCACTGCCTGCGGGACAGCACCTGCTCCCCCGTGCCAGCTCCCCCACTGAGCGGGAACCCCTGGAAGCCCAAGAGCACACGCAGCCAGCCCGGTGTCTCCCGGAGCACCCCGAAGCGGCCTTGACCACAAAGGCGCTCTGGCTACACTTGGAGGAAGTGCACACCAAGCACGCCGCCAGCTTTTCTTTCGTGGAGGAAGAGGAGCCCCAGAGGCTACCTGCTGTGTGCCCCGTGGGCATGCAGCGAGCTCGCCCCACCGCGGGAGGCGGGATCACGTGCACCCCACAGAGGAGGAGCCAGGCCCAGAGAAGTAGGCAGCAGGTCTCGACCACCCCTCCCTAGTGCATCCAAGCCTTCACGGGGAAAGACTGAGATCACCAGACCACCAGTGAACCAGCACTGCGCACCCAGCTCCGCACTCCTCCCGGAGAGAAAGCAGTGAGGACACAGGCCTCATGACGGTCGCGGGGTCCCCGGCGGCTGCCCCCGCCCCACCCTGCTGCTGCAGGCCTGCATGGAGCGTGACACCTGTGTGTGTAGCAAGGCTCCGAGGACAGAAAGTCCCTGGACAGCAACCAGTGCTACCTTGTGCCCACAAGTCCTCCTCCTAAGGCAGGAGAGAGGACTACTATATCATGAAAAACTTGCTAAGAGCGTGACCTCCCATGGGTCTCGTCTCAGATCATCAGAAAGTCCCTCGAACACCTTTCTCCCCAAGATTCTGCATCATGGTCTCGCCCAGTGCTGGGGAGCAGGGGTGGTCCCTGGGAGTGGGGGCTGTCCAGAGCTCAGAGGCAGAGAGCCTCCTGAGCCCCTGGTTGGGTAAGCCCCCAACCCCAAGGACGGGGTGCACTGCACCCTAGAAGACAGGGGCTGCGCCCAGTCCGTGGTCTCAGGGTCATTCAGAGCTGTGGCCCCGCTGATGAGAACCTCAGGACCGTATTGCTTAAGCCTCTCCCCCGCAAACTCGCATGCACTCCATACTGTGTGCCCAGGGAGCCCAATGTCCTCTCCCCACATCCTTTCCTTTAGCAGGCAGTGATCTGGGACCGATGACCGTGTGACGCTCTACGTGACGAGTTATGTCTCTACCCAGAGAGGCTAACATTTCAAGTGTCCAGTTCATTCTTCATCGTTGACAACCTGTTCCCTCCTCCCTCCCACGTGCAAAGCACACGTGGCTAGTACTTGCTTCTAGCTCGTCTCCCAGCCTGTCTCAAGAAGGTCTACAGCACAAAGCTGTTGCCTCGACGGCACTTGGGTCATTCTTGACCCAACAAGGAAGACATCAGGTACTTGGTGCAGGCACTTGGCCTTCTTTGCGGCCGGTTGAGGAAGGGCCATGGGTGCTCCTGGCTCTCCAGCACCTGCCTCTACAGTGGACGTCCCCCCGCAGTGGGAGAGGGAGCAGGCCCCAGCTGCTGGTGTGTCTCAGAGGAGCAAAGTCCCCAAAGGTGTGCGTTAGTCAGGTCCCCTTGTTCCTGGGCCAGAACAAGAAACCCCCGGTCCTTGCCTCCACCCTTACCACCACCCCCAGAACGGGGACGACGGGAGGTGACGTCACTTCACAAGGTTTCCGTGAATTCACCCGTCATTGGGCACGTACGCAGTTACAGCTCAGGGAAGCTGGAGACAAGCCCAGGACACCCAGACCGCACGGACTTCGGGAAGTCTGGTAAGAAGCTTCTCAGGGCGTGCGGGTGGCTCAGTCTGTAAAGCGTCCGACTCTCGATTCTGGCTGGGGTCATGATCTCAGGGTCAGAGATCGAGCTGGGCGCTCAGTGTGGAGTCTGCTTGCAATTCTCTCTCTCCCTCCCCCTCTGCCCCGACCCCCTCCTCGCACACTGCCTCTCTCTCCGATAAACAAATCGTGGGGAAAAAAAGTTTCTCTACTGGAACTGTGGCTTTGGTGTGGATAGACTGTGGCCATCGGGACTGTGGGGCAACGTTGCTGCTTCATCAGGGCGTCTGGAACGCAGGCTCCACAGCCCAAACCACCCCCCATGGCTTCCACACAACCTGGGGACGAGTCTGGTTCACCCGCTGGAGGACGAGCCCCTGGGCACAGGGTCTGCCTCAGCATTGCCCTCCAAGGAGCCCACCCCTCGTCCGGCTCACTGAGGCCATCTGCCCCGGCCGCCCTCAGCTAGAGCCTGCCCTCACAAGCCCCGGCTGCCCCCACGAGGGTCTGGTCTCCAGAGACGCCTGGCTCTGTCTTGGGGGCGGTCATTCTCATCACGGGTCCAAAGCCCCTAAGTGTGCGTCTGCTTCCTCCGTCTCTGTAAGGAGAGCTGACAGCATTCCCACGGAAGGCCCAGGGTCTGGGCCGGGTCCATGTAGACTCAGCAGGAAGCAAAGGGCAGAAGGGAATTTGGGGAGTGAGTCCCGGGCCAGCCCCTCTGCACCCTGGTCTCTTGCTCCTAGAGCCAGAGGCCCAAGCCTGCCCACCCCACCTGCGTCACGAGCCCTGCCCCTGCTTCAAGGGTTTTTGTAGTGTTTGAGCTGGAGCCCACACATTCATCCTGCACTGGACCCTCCACCCTGCTTGGGAATTACAAGGTCTGGGAATCTCTTGCCTGTGCTGTGGAGAAACCAGGGGCTTTTCTAAACAAAGACGCTCATTCCCGGGGCCAGTACCCCCAGCCCCCACATCTGCTCGGCAGAGCAAACTCCAACTGGAAGGAAATTACAAGCAAGCCGGCAAGAGAAGAGCTTTTGGGGTTGGTTGGTTTGTTTGTTTTTTAAAGAAGAAATTAGGAGCTCTCAGGAACCAGTGTCGGGGCACTGGCTTCAAAGCGGTGGGACCCAGTCTGGCAAACTGCCAAATGTCCCCGAGCCTCCAATGTCCTTATCTGCAAAATGGACCAGATGAGACCATCTCATTCTGAAAGTCATTCAAGGTCATGTGTGTGGCACCTGGAACAAATGTTAGTGTCCTTTATGGGGTGCAGATAGGTGGCTAGCTTCAGAATTTCAGAATCCCTTGGCCAAAGGAAGAGTAGACTTTATGTAGTCGACCCTGAGTTTGACAGATGGGGAAACTGAGGCGCATCTTGCTCAGACCCCGGGTGGCGGCAGCACCAGCCCTCCAGCCTCAGCCACACTCTGGAGGTCGCGGTCGAGGTTACCTTTGAGGCCTGGGACGAGAATATGCAGGGAGCAGGCGTCCTCTGCTGTCTGCTGAGGGTGTCCCCCTGGAAGCAGCCACAGGAAGGCCAGGCCGATCAGAGCCAGATGCTGCTTCATCACGAGCGCTTGGGGGACACAGGCTCCTGCACCAAGGAAGGGGACACAGCGATGAGCATTCAGACACCGGGGCGTGACCGCATACAGACTGGGGCCGGGGTGCTGGTAGCTGTCGGGGGCCTCTCCCAGCCTTCAGGTCTCTCCCTCGCGGCCCACCTTCGCCTCCCGGTCCCGGCCACGCTGGGACCCCCAACCTGAGTGTGGCTGCCAGATTCTCGCCTCTGCATCTCTCTGGCTGAGACTTCACGCACACAAAGGCACACGTGTGGTCCTATGACAACTCTGACATGCCGTCCAGAACAGAGGGTAGAGCCCAGCCAGCTCCCCAGGACCGGCCAGTCCCCCATGGTCGCTGGGCCCAGGACCCCTCCATACCCCTTGGGGCTGCACTCTTGGTCTGTGGATGCCTGTCTCGCGTGGCTTCCTAGCATCACCGCACGCCAGTGCGCTCCTAACAGACCACTGTCCCGATGGCCCAGCTTGGAGCTTTCCAGGCGCGGGCTGTGTGTGCAGAGTCTGAGCAAGCCTGTTCCGCTCAGCGCCCTGCTGCGGGGCTCACGGCAGCCATAGCTCCTCAATTATCTGTCACTGTGACAGCACCCGTCACCAGCGGGTGTGGGAGGGGGACGGAGGCCGGGACACACAGGAGGACACAGCTGGCCCTGTGCCCCCATGGGGATCAGGCACGCCGACTCTTCCCCCGAGGGTCGGTGAGGAAGTCTTGGCGGCAGCACCCAGAGAGCCACCCCCCGAGACTCTGATGAACACACGGCAGGATCTGGGGATGGCCATGCACCTGGCAGCCCCAGGACCAGTACCCTGGGCTCATCATGTCTCCGTCGCTGGCTGGCGCCCTCCGCGTGGAGGGGAGGGAGGAGTCTGTGCAAGGAGCAACTACGTGAAACACGGAGAGGTGTGCCGGGGCAAGTGCTTGCCAAGACGGCCGAGGCGCTACTGTTTGCACACGGGGAGGGCCCCACGGCCTACAGCCCCTCCAGGCCCAGGAAGCCAGAGCCTCTGAACCGAGAGGTCCTGTGCCCCAGCCACTGCTCCAGCCAGGTTCTCCGTGCAACAGATGCAGGCAGAAGCTGTGTGTGCTCTGTGACACCCTGCAGCGAGGGCTCTGCTCCCCTCGGCGGGGGCACAGGACACAATGGGAAGGGCAGGGGTGAGGATGAATGTCCCCTCGATGGGGGACGGTAGAAGGCCGGCCGCCCCCAGCATGTCGCTCCCATTTCACAGGCCAGGGAACCAGGGATGAGGGAAGTGAAGTCAGCTGCCCAGAGCACCCCACTAGTAGGTGGGGAGGTGGGGTTGGACCTGGGGCCTCCTGGCGCACCTGACCTCTCCCTTCTGCTCCTGTCGGCCGTCAAGAGCACCAAGCCCGGGAGCAGGGGCCGCCCACCTCCTTACACTACGGTGGCAGCTTTTACTGTGTTATTTCACGCTTGTGCGAGAGACAAGGAGCCACTATTTACTACCACACATGGGCACACAAACCTCATTTAGTTCCCAAAACCACCTCAGACCTGGCTCTTCAATGCAATGGTGCCAAGGAGGCTGGAGGCTGGACAGTCAGCCCCCTCCAGCCCCCCTCCCCGCCCCCCCTCCCAGCCCCCCTCCCAGCTGGCGCTCGGCCTGCCGCCTGAGGAGGCAGGGAAAAGGGAAGGAAGGGAAGGGAAAAGGTGTGAAGGTTTGCCCACAGCCCGCGGGGATGAGCTTTGCCCCCTTCGCTTTCCCCCTGCCGCTGGGCCTTGGGCCTTGCTCTGGAAGTGGGCCGAGAGTGAGCACCTCCTGCAGCCAGGAAAGGCTCAGGCCACGGGCAGGAGCTTAGCGGGCACTGAGCTGAGGACCGAAAGGCTGCGTGAAGCAGCGAATGAGGGACAGACAGAAGCTGAACGTGGCGGCACCTAGAATTTAAGGTCTCCCCTCCCTGCGACTGCTTTTCCTCGCTGCCCGAGGGCTCCTCATGCCTCAGGTCCACGCGGGACCGGGGCCAGCGCCTCAGACATGGCCGGTGCGGGACGGGCTTGCAGTGGCTCCCGCCCTGCATTAACGGACCTGGAATTCCTAAGAGCCTGTTTGCAACACTGTGTCCTTCACCGTGTCGAGCTGAGCTGCTGCTCTAGAAGCAAATGTGGGTTCTTTCCAGAATGTAGCTCTTAACAGTGATGATAACATTAAAAAAGTCATGATAAACTTACATTTGGGCTCAGTCTACAATACTTGCTTCTCGGTGTTTGTGGAGGCAGAGGGGATTTAGATCTTTTTTAACGTCTCGGGGGTCCGAAGCTGACGTGGGATCGTCTCCAGCTGAGAACAGCTGCGTCCGGGGACAGCCACGTTGCTCAGCACGACCCCCGGCCCCCACACATGCCTTCCAGCCACAGCAGTCGCCACCTGGGCCACGCAGAGCCCACACAAGGCCCCCGGGCTGCAGCCGGAACCTTCCCCGCAGCCCTACCACCCCGCCCGCCCACTGGCTCCTGCATCTGCATCTCCTCAGGGCAGCCCTGGTGAGGCAGGGGCGGGGGGGCGGGGGGGCCTCCAACTCCTCCAACTTCCAGCTCTGCCCTGGGAGTCAGGAGAGGAATTCGGTCTGTAAACGGAGAAGCCGCGGCCCGCTGGGCCTTCTCTAAGAACCACATCCTGATCCAGCCAGAGCCGGGAGGTTTCCACCCTCCCTTGGGTGCACCACGGTTTCTGAGGGGAAATTCAATTTGGAATTCTTAGTGGAAGTTCATTGTAAGAATGAAATTCTCTCTCTCTGTGTCTCTCAAATAAGTAAAATCTTAAAAGAAAGAAAGAAAGAAAGAAAGAAAGAAAGAAAGAAAGAAAGAAATGGACAATGAAAAAATAATGTGGTATAATTTGCCAAACTCACAATCCTACCTTTTCATTAAGCTCTGCAGCATGTACAGCCTGAGAACCATCTGGAAGCATCAGGGGCTCTGAGAATGGCCACCCCTCACCCCACCCAGCTGTTTGCTCCCCACGGTGACACGGGGTCTCCCCAGGGCCCAACCAAAGGGCACACACTAAGGAGGAAGAGGCCCTTCCCCCAGCTTTCTGCAAACCGTCTGTCCTCTCATGGCCCCCAGATCTCTCAAAGCCGTAGATGAGCTGGAATCGCGGCGGACGCCCAGGCTCGCTCTGCCAGGCAAGGAGAGCGCTTCCCACCAGATCAGAAGTCTGGCTATGCACGTGCCGTGGCTTTCCCACTTTGTCTTTTAAGTTTCTAAGTATGACCTAACTTCAGCCTGGAAGCCAGCTGGCCAGGGAGGAAGGGACCCCGTCACACCACGTCCTACCCGGTTTGGGAGACCAGAGAGCCCGGCTCCGGTCCTGCGTTTGCCCCATTGCTGAGCTCAGAACAGAGCCACAGGCCGTGAGCGCAGATGACCACTGCGGCCCACGTGGCCCCAGCCACAGGCGGCGGCCGCTCCCCGGGAACACACTCTGGCCACCTTCACGCGCTGCCACAGCCACCTCTCACACAGGGATGGGGATTCGAGAACACACAGCCCCACCTCTTAGAGCGAGTGCAGAGCAGAGAAGCCTCCTTTTGAGTGCCCTCGTGTGCCGGCCCCATGGAGTCTCCAGCATGAGCTCCTGAATCACTCAGACCTTGGAATTCTAGAGTCGGATCCATGGGACAGACCCCATCCGTCGCGGGGGACCAAAGAACAGACCCACCCCCCTTCCACCGAGTCCTCCCTCTGGCCGCTTTGGGAACCTTGCCTTCCTAGCTCAGCGTGTCCCCGTGGACTGGCAGACCCCCGCCCTGCTCCCCAGGGCTGCCGGTCACCCGGCAGAGCGCCCCTACCTGCAGCGCACGCCAGACGAAGGGGGCGTCCTGACCGTCGGGGACCCGCGAGGACACTGCGCCCGGGAGCCTCATAGCCGCTATTTACAGAGGCCGCCGAGCCCCACAGGCCAGGCGAGCATGGCCCAGGCCGTCAGGCTTCCCAGCAAATCAGGCTGGGTCTCAGCCTTATCTGCAAAGAGCTTCCTGTTTGCAATACATCCGCTGTCCTGCGGGAGGGCGGTGGAGGGTGTGGGAACGCGGGAAGCCGCCGCGGGGTCGCGGACCGGCCAGAGATGCCCTCCCGGCTCTTCACCCCGAGCCCCCCACCCTGACTCTGGCGTCCGCTCTGTTCTCTTTCTCTTCTCCTTTTGAAGAAGGAAGCGTGAGTACTGAGTACGCTGGGCGTCGAGGGAATCAAGGAGAGTGGTCACCATCAGGTGCCACATCAGACAGAAATAAATGTGGCGGACCCGCTTCCTTCCACTCTCCCTGTAGGGTTTCACTTCAAGGCACTCCCTGCTTGTCTACTGCCTGTCCAGACCTACGCCACGCAAGACCCAAACTCACAGGCGCTCCCTGACGCTTCATGAAGGCAGAACAAGGGTCTGTGGTGGGCGGGTCCGGCTCCTGCCTCTCACGGAGGAGGGGAGGGGACTTGTTTAAGAAAAAGATACACACATACAATTACGATCACAAAAGGCTACATTCAAAGATGCATTTTTATTTAGACTGAAAGAAGTCACAACAGATTACAAATTTTGCAAAGATTTTCAAATTCAGGGGCCCCTGGGTGACTCAGTGAAGGGGCTGCCTTTGACTCAGGTCATGATCCCAGCGTCCTGGATTCTTTATTAAAACCGCCAAATAGGGGCGCCTGAGTGGCTCAGTGGGTTAAGCCTCTGCCTTCGGCTCAGGTCATGATCCCAGGGTCCTGGAATTGAGCCCCACATTGGGATCTCTGCTCTGCGGGGAGCCTGCTTCTCCCTCTCTCTCTGCCTACTTGGGATCTCTCTCTGTGTCAAATAAATAAATAAAATGTTTAAATAAATAAATAATTTATGCCAAATTTATGCCAAATGTCAAATTTATGCCAAATTTATGCCAAAAATTTATGCGAAATAGCATAAATAAATCTGAAAACTTGGACCCAATGGGCCACTTCCTGGGAAACACATGACCTTCCACAATGGACCCAACATGAAATAGAGGGCTTAGCAGCCCCTAGCAACTAAGGCAGTTGACTTTGTAACAAAAACTCCCAAGAAAGAAGCTCCAGGCCAGATGACTTCACGGGAGAATTCTACCAAAGTTTCACAGAAAAATTAACACCAATTTTTCACACGTCTTCCAGGAAAAAGAAGAGAGAGGAGCATTTTCCAATTCATTTTATGAAGTTGGTGTTACCCGGAGACCAAAACCAGAAATAGTACAAACACACAAAAAAGTCCACACAAACTCCTAGAATCCAGAAGGGGCTCTGCGAGGCTCAGAGCTCAACATGAATGTTCGGAAACCAGGCGTACCTGTACAAGCTGGCAACGGGCACATACACTCCGAAACTTAAAATCACTTACAATCACTCAAAGAAATTCAGTGCCTCAGGGTAAATCTAACAAAACATGTCCGGATCTAAGTGCCAACCAGGAAAATCACAGCAGCCTTAAGACACCGAGTCGCGCTCCCGGACTGGGAGGCTCAGCTCCGGGGGGAGACGCTGATTGTCCCTAGAGTGACCTACAAACTTAACACGATTCCTGTTCAAATCCCAGCGAGACATTTTGTAGACAGACAGGATTATTCTCCAATTTATATGAAAAGACAAAGGGAGCGGAAGCTAAAACAATTCTGAGATGAAGGATGTAGCAGGAGGAATCGGTCTGCCCAGTTGCAAGACTGACGACACAGTGGGACGGACCAGACAACTGCCTGGAGGTTTTTATTATTGTGATAAAGTACGGAACAGACCATTTACCATCGTAACCACGTTCTAGTGTAGAGCTCCGTGTATTAACTACGTTCGTGATGCCCTGTGGCCCTACCGTCCGTCTCCACGCTCGTTGCACCTTGTGAAACTGAACCTCTGTCCCCATACCGCTGCGTCCCCATCGTCCCAGTGCATTACAGCCCACCTCAGCCTCCTGGCCGCCTGGCCACGCCTGCTGGACGTCCTACGATTCCGACCGTTCTAAGTATCTCATGTGATCGGAGTCCAACGTGACAGGCTTCTTTCCCAGAGCATCACGTCCTCAAGGTCCATCCGTGTCATAGCCGGTGTCAGAACAACTCAACCCACCTCAGTGCAGAGGAACACAGCCCCAGCTCAGCTTCACCCTGGTCCCACTCCCTCCCCGGACCGTGTGACCGGAGATACTGTCACACCGTGGGGTCAGGGGCACGGAGTACCGGCTTCTGGGAACTGCGATGGACTGGAAGGTCCTCCCCGCAAAGAGTAACCAGGACCCAGCGGGCGACAGCGCTCACACACAGCCCCACAGCCAGATCGCAAGGACGCCGCTGGCTACTCCTCCCAGCACGAGGCCTGAGACGCAGTGGAAACGGACGGTGCACCGTGTCGTGGGGTGTGCTCCCTCGGCCCATGTGGGACGCCAGCTGGGAGGAAGGGCCAGGGCCTGGGTCCCAGCGAGGCCCGCCCAGTCAGCCACGAGCTCAGTCCTCACAAGCAGCCTGCCCAGCCAGCTGCTGGTACTCCGGCTAGAGCTCCAGAGCCAGGGCAGAGAAGGATGGCGCCTGCCCAAGGTGCCACCGCTGGGGCACATGCCAGGTCAGGACCCACCCTGTCTCCCCAGAACTGGGCTTTCCGGATTGCGGAGAGCCGGCAGCCGGCCAGCCTGCCACACTCTCCTGGGGTCTCACCACCAACCTGGTCACTTATCTTTTGTTTTGTGTCCCAAACTGCTCAGGGCTTTTTTTTTTTTTTTTTAAGTGCCCAAACTGGGAATTAGTCTCGGTTACAGAGTAAGTGACAATATTATAGTAACGACCTGTTTCAAGTAGGCTGTCAGAACCGTTTTGCCATTAGAAATCCTGTGTGCACCTGCCTTGAAAATACGCACCAAAAAGTCACGAGAAACCAGCAGGTCCTTCTCCCTTCAGGCTGCTCTGGCTTCCTGCCCTCCCTCTCCCCCTCCTTCCCCGTCTTTTCTTGAAAGCGCGAGGTCCTGCTGTTGGCCGCAGGCTTTTCCTCCCGAACTCGGCCCCTCAGGCCGCCTGGCCGCGCCCCGGGTCAGAACAAGACTCTGGCTCAGCTCCTGGTGACTGTTTACATTCCCAGAGATAACGGAGAAATCCGCGGGACAGCCAGACCCGGCCCATTTGTCTCTGGGTGGGAACTCTCCTGGAGGTCACCCAGCCAGGCCTCCACCGCTCCGGATACTTTGTCCTTCGGGACATTGACCTGGGCCACCCCTGCCCCTGCCTGACGGCTCTGCTTCTCCAGAGCTCCCTGAATGTGCAGAGCGGCATGAGGCCCGCACCCGGCCCTCGTGGATGTGGTCCCCGGACGGTCAGGGGTCTGGGCACCGCGGCCGCGCTCATCGGAGCTGGAGCCCACCGCGCGGCTGGGAGATGCGGCCTTGGCATCACCGGGTAGCTCGCCAGCGAGACAGATGTGAATGCCATTCATCTGACGACATCGTGCCGTCCAAGGTCATTACAGCACCCGAGATCACCGGGTCTCAAATGTGAGCGTGCGCCAGAACCACCCAGAAGACCTCTGAAAGCACCGGCCGCTGTGCCACTGCCCCAGACTTTCTGAGCCAGCAGTTGGTAGGGGTCCGGGCACCGCCGATTCTAACCAGTTCGCATGCGATGGGCGATGCTGGGGCTGCTGGTCCAGGGGCCACTCTGCCAACCGCTGCCTCCCTCACAGGGTGCTGTGAGGCCTGGGGCTGACAGAGTAGGTGGCCCGCCACAGGGCCCCACGCGCGGGACACCCACGAATCACGTGGTGCTGTCCTGACCTTCTCACTCCCCGCCTCCTCTCCTCGGTCGCCCCACAAGACCGCACACTCTTGCTCCAGCACAGAAACCGAAAGCCAACAAATCAGCCCCGGACCAAAGGAGGGAAAGACCTGCTGGCCGCGGTGCCCGTCTCCACGGCAGCCACATGGGAGCCATGAGGAGCCAGCACGTGACCACATGGTCAGGCCCGTCAACGGCCCGAGGTGAGCGGCCCCGTGAGGCTGCTTCCTGCGCCGGGGAAGCAGCGTGAAGGTGAACAGCAGGGGCGGCTGTCCCAGATGGTCACTCCACATGGGGACTCCTGGGCTGCGGCCTTCCGTGTGTTTGTGGCCCCTCCCAACCCGCTCCTGCGCACCTTGCTCTGGGGAAGCATAAGTCAAAGGAATGGCCTCTGTGAGCCAGAGGAAAGCAAGCCTTCTAGGCGCACCGCTCAGTGACAGAAGTCAAGGCTGCCTTGTTTCCTGGTTGCCGTCCATGTCTGCGTCGCCCGCTGGGCAGGGCAGACCTTCGAGGACAGAGGCCCTAACTTACCGGGTCTGCCAGAGGACCTGGCACGGAGCCGGCTTCACAGCCTAAGGGGACCCGAGCCGTACCGTCGTCTTCATCAGGCGCTGGCATGTCATTCAACCATGGCTGGATCCAAGGGTGACGGGCGGGCCAGCCGTAAAGTCGATGATCCTGATTACAGCAAAGTCATGAACATATACTGACCACTAACTACGCGCCGGTTCTCTCCGCTCAAAGCCTTTGTCCAAAGTAACGTCTTGTCTGCAATACACCAGTCAGAAACTCACACAGCAACACCCTCTCTGTGCTCCCCCAAGAGGTGCTTGACGTAGGCCCCCTGCTCGAATACCACCTCCCAGACCAGTCCCGGCTCGGACACCACCTCCCAGACCGTGTCCCTTAAGCGGGCAGGGATTCTAAGAGCTTATCCTTACACAACCCCTTCATGTTACCAAGAGGGCACGGAGGCCCAGGGACGTTAAAAGACTTCAGGAAAGCCACACAGAATGAAATGGAAAAAGCAACCAATTGATAAAAGAGAATAAAATGTAGAACTTCCTCCTCTGTTCCACTCACAGGTCGGAGAGTGACAGACCTGGCTCTGTCATCTGGTTTCCCTGTGTCTCTGGGATGGTTCTTGGGCCCTAACACTCATCGTCATGAGATTGATTTCCCTGATTCTTGATTCTCCCTTTGGAAGTAATACGACCGATTTGGTTTTCAAGGACAAGAAACCTCATATATTCTTTTTCTTCTTCTTTTTAAGATTTATTTATTTATGGGGCACCTG